GCTATCTCAAGATCCATTCAAATACAGTAAATCCCTTGTGTTCTCATGATTCAAAATATTTTTAGTAGGTTGGTTAGGATAGAACAAAGGAGTGTTCTGAACCATTTCCTAATTACCTGGTTACTGTCCTAAAAGCAACAAGCAGTAATTCTCAAAATGTGGTCCCCAGACCAGTAACATGAGCATTGACTGGGGATTTGTTAGAAATGCAAATCATCAGGCCCCACCCAGACTTACTGAATCAAGCAGTCTTGGGATGGAATTCAGCAACGGGTTTTTAATCAGCTCTCCTGCTAGTTCTGATTCATGGTAAAGGCCAAGAACTATTGGGATGGGGTATTACTTCCTTTAAGGCAGCAACCAGCAAGTATGAAGTTAGAGGAGAATGCTACGCAAAAACATGACAGAGGTTAATATCTTTTCACTCTCGTGGGGGGTTGCTTAGCTGAAGATTTAGTCCATATGTCTAATGAATTTTACAGCAAATTTCAACCAGCTACATACACACACTTTTGAGTAGTCAGATGCAGTTTCTAACTGACACGTAAAAACCATTATTAAAAAGTGAAAAGCAATGCACATATGCATTTATAAAACAAAAGAATTAAGTTGCTCATTAATATATAAACATTTTTAAGATAGGTGGGGTTATGTTCCAGATTTCTTGGCCCTGTTCAGGAAAGTATACCAACAAGATGAGGCAGCCATTCAATCCTTTTGAGACATATCAATAAAATAACATTGCCTTTGTACCTAACGGGTTTGCTTTGTGGTCAGCACAGCGGCAGAATTTTTAGCTAAGCAAACAACCCTTTCTGCATGTCTTGCCAATGGGTTTCAGCCCTGGGCAAGTTTGCTATGGATTCAGTGTGACCAAAGAAACTGACAGCGAAACGTTCTTTGGGGTGAAAGGGTTTATTACCCGGCTTGTTCTCCCCGCAGTAGGTCGAGCACTAGCATCTCTGCCTCCGCCCAGAGCACTGGGCCGAGCTCTCTATATAGTGCAATAATAGCTTATTGCCTAAAGGTGTGGAAGCGGCAGCCCAGCAACAGGCCAGTTACATCATCAGGTGGTTTAAGTTCAGTGAGGACCCTGGCCACAGGAACCCCAACTTCCCCACACTGCATTTCCCCTAAATATGTTAATAATGACTAACTTCTAGAATTTGAAGTACTGTCAGTAAGTTAGCAGGCTTATGGGTAATTACGGATTCTACCACTGAAGACAGTAGTGCCAATACAATATTGTGAAGGGGTAATGCATCTTGTGCTTACACAGCACAGTCAAAATTGTAAATCAATTATTGGAATGCAAGTTCCGTAGAGTTTCATAACCAATATCTTATGACTTCCTGTGAAGAAATTAAATTCTGAATTATCTGATTTTCTTTTTCATGTACTTACACAAATTAGATTGCAGATTAAAGAACCACAACTAAGTTGTTTTTTAGGCTGCAACAATATGTTTTTATGAAAAAAAATGAACACGGACTAGGTATTGTTTGTGATTGCTATGTCCTGCATTATACTAAGAAAATAATTAAGCTATTAATATAAACCAAAGTATGCCTGTTTTACGTCTGAGTTAAGCTAATATAGGATAATAAAACTATCATTCATCAGTGAATGAAAATTATTACCTGGCATCCTAATGATCACTTTGCTGTTACTGCATTATAAAGGACAGGTAACACAGTATGGGGGTTGTGGCATAAATAAATTAACTTCTAGCTCATCAGTTCATGCCATGGATTGGCTATTTTATGTTTTAATATAGTGATTCCTAAAACTGTATGCATATAAAGAAATCACCAGGGATATTTTTTTTTACAAAACAAACTCTGGGCCACATTCCTAAGGGTTGCTTTTATTTCATGATTTGTGTGACATTATTATTGTTACATATTTTTAGTATTCTCTGGGATAATCAGAAAGCTGTTTATGCTAAAACATGCTCCTAATTGTTATCCAGGGAAGAATGCCTGAGAGTGACTTGATAGGAGAAGATGTTTAGTGGCTCGCTATTCTCCTTTGATTTTCTTTCCTAAATAGGACTCTGGGAAAGAATGTGCCTGCATGGCCCACAGGATATTGTGCATGCATCTGTTAACAGTGACTGCTTTTGGAGCCACTGCGGACAGCATAGCCCCAAGATTGTCATAGTGCTGTGCAATGTTTCCATCTTGGATTCCATAACGAGAGTAGATTTTTCCACCAAAAAAGGTTTCAAACACTATTTCTGTTTCTAAAGGAAAAAAGGCTGATCCTGCAAGGAAAGAGCAGCTGCCCCAACCATGGTTGGGTTAAAGCGGCAGAGAGCTGCAGCAGCATGCAACCAAGACTGCAAATGGCCAGCACTTTGCAGATGATATTACAGGCAAGCGATGCTGTTTTTAGAAACCCACTAATAAACAAGTGACATTAAAAACTATTTTGAGCAAGTGCACAAGCAATCATTTGCTAATTAGATTTTTGTGGCAAGAGGTACACATTGTGTCACAGATGGTGGGGTACAAAATAATAAGAAACTCCTAAAAATAGTAGAATAAAAAGTAGGCTGGAAAAGTTTCTCTTAGCAAAATCTGTCAAGGTTTTATAATCAGTTCCACTGTGAGGAGAAGCTGGAAATTGACATTAGTACACCCTGGATTACCTTTAAAGGCCCTTGAACATGAAGAGTATCGAGTGCTGTATGCTCTCCTCATCTCTGAGGGTGGATTCTGTCATTCTCAATAAAACCCTTTTCATCTTCATACAAGCCCCAGGTTAAAGAACCCATTCAGATACTGCCATATACAGATAACTGGATTAGAAAGAGACTCTGACTATTATTTTGAGATTCCGCTTCTTGGAGGAGGCCGAGTGTAGAAACCAGCAACTCCAACACAATTCTGTATTAATAAAGTTTATTTCTGTCGAGGAAGCTGCATGTTACAGTCAGACTTGGGTTCAGGTCTTGCTTCCTCCTGACGTTTCACCAGTCCCTATTCCAGTGCTGACTGGGCCTGCCTAAAGCTTTTTCTTTAGGAACAGATGACCCGAGATACAAATGGAAAAGAGTAAGAGAAAAGACTGCAAAGAAAGGGAGACACCAGAACAGAGAAAGAGGGTAAAAGAGGGAGAGATCAAAGTATTTAAATACAGAAGACAGGACTAGGGTCTACACTGTCCCCCTAACGAGTTGCATTGTAAGAAGCTAGACATTCATTTACTTAATTGAATTTTCCCTTTGCATTATGTATGAGGAGTTTAGAAATTGACATTGCAAGAAAAAGGGAGAAGGTACCAATCCTAGTATTTGTATCTTCATTTTGTCCAGTAAGAAGAGTCTGTGATTTAGCAACTACATTTTTTTTGCAACTACATTTATCATGTAATACCTCTACATTTCAAGCTCTTGTTTTTATCTGAAATAAGGAATCCATTTTTGTGTGGTGAACAAGCTGCCCCACAATATTTTCAGTTTAGCAGGTGCTGGGCTCACACAGTTTACTTCAATTACAGGTCTGATTTGTCTGGTTAATATTTAGCTCAGCAATATATTGCTCACATTAGAGTTCCAACCATGGAACAATAATGAAATAAATAGTTGTAGCATTAGGAGAAATTTCTGGAAATATGGCATTTTAAAGATAACTTCATCCTTAAATGATGCAAATTCACTAAAAGAGATAGAATTCTCCAATATAAGTCAATAATTTATTTACTCCTTTTCAAAATAATAAGTTGCCTTTAAGTCTGAATATGAAATAGCACTAAAATTCAAAAGGGAATCTCCAATTATGATCCCCAATTGCTGGTGCTCACCTAGTTCAGAAAAGAATTCTGAAAATGGGATTGATGCCCTCAAGCCATACAACAACCATTAACACACTTTGTGGAATGGAACTTTAATTTATATAAAATAAACTGACTGCAGTGGAAGCACAACTTACAGAAGCTCATTTTTGAAAATTTGCACCTTCACAGTGCTTCTCATTGGTAGGATGCTAAATAACAAGTTCATTTTTCAAAAGACTGAGGCCCAGGGATATTGAAAAAGACATTTGGGGAAAATATATAAATGTCTCTTTGGGGTTAAAGGAAACATCACGTGGAAGGGGCCTAATCTTAAAGTAAGCATATTCAGCCTTATAAACCTAGAAATACAAGGGATCTTTGCTCTGAAATCCACCTTAGCTTTCCATATATCTTAAACATTTACCACAACAAGGAACACTGTAACTAAAATATTAATTTAGAAATATCAACACATTGCAGCTGCGCTGGGGATTGTTTTATGGAGGGGTGGTGGTGGGAGAAGACCAGAGGCAAGACCTTCTCTCTCGGCACCAACACTAGGCCTCAATTCCCTGGATGCTCATGTCAGTTTGTAAAAGGAAAAACTGTGGCAGCAGGAGTAAGCAGGGGTATTTCACTGTCTGCCTAATCCAAACAAGCAAATGAGAATAAATAGGAAGTGCAATGTTTTTCAAGTTCAAGGGGGAAAACAGCCAGGTAAAGGATAAGATGCTTACTATCACAAACCTCATAAAAGAATCTTTCTCCTTCCTTCTTCTGCTCATGGAATTGCAAGTCGAAGATGTTGGACAAAGACATGACACATTACAGACACAGCACACAACACATTTCTGACCGATTTTTGCATGTGACCAATAAACCACTGATACACCAAGAACCACCAGCACCAAGCACCACAAAGCACATTTCAGAGCAAGTTGATGTTGCACAGTATGGTTAAAAAAAATCGGCAATTTGTAAAACTTTATAGGTCAGTAGCATACATATACACCACAATTCACACTTCTAATGTATTTACTGAAGTATTTTGTTGTGGATAATAATCACCTTAGTTGCTAATAGTATTTTAGATTATTGTTTTCTGTTCTTTAGCTGTACCATGTAAACACTTGATTATGACACTTTCCATAGCAAAGAAATACATTGTTGATGATCTCTAAAAAGATACTTGGCAAATGCAGGCATTAAAACATACCCACCTCTTTCCCTCCCATGGATTCAAACATTTTTTCCAGCTGGACCCGTAATTGTTGAATATTGTTCATCAATATACAGGGCTTTAAAGAAAGTAAACACAAAAAAAAGTAGCATGAGAATCCTTTACAGATTAAATTATTGAATGACTTTACTTAAAGATAATAAGTGTACAATTATCACTAAATCCCTATTATACTTGACAAATAGAGTAATTCTGCTATTTTGATTATACTTTTTCACAGTTAAGACTGGAAGGGGGAACATATTACCACTTTGGGGAACAAAATTTAACAATGCACTCAGACAATAAACCATTGAAGATGTACTACTAAAGTTTCTTTTACTAACATTGTGGCATTTTACACTTAGAAATTAACCAAATTCTATTTTTAAAGATTTATTCAGAAATCAGATTAGCTCAAATTTTTGTATTTTTTTCACTGTTTTAACCACCAGAACACCATTTGATTTTTAAAAGTCCAAGAAAAAAACAAACCAAACACCTTAATGGATTCTCTTTGGCTGTAAATAGAGGCCACACATTGGTATTCATGGCCCTTAGTTATTTGGCTCCAAGGCATGTTTCCCTTTTCATCTGCACCTACTGCATTACTGCATTACTATTAACTCTCAACTCCAAGTGGCTTATTCCCCCCAAAACACCTGTGCTTTCTAGACTCTCTTACTTGGTTTAGTATGTGGCCTCTTCACTTGAACTTCTTTTCCTATTTGAATATCTATCATTCAGGTTACAGCATTCTCTTTCCTAAATTGTATCCTTTTTGTCACTTGACATTTGTTTTATTTCACTTTACATTTCAGTTGCTTTTTACTGTCTCACCAGCTGACGGTGAGTGCACTGTATGTACACCTGTGTTGTCTTCTTACTCACAGAATACTGCACAGAGCCTTACACATAATACATGTTTAAAAAATGTTTTTCGATTTGTTTCTAAGGGGGAGGAAATATAACCATAACATAAATAAGTAAAGCTTTGTGACAGGACCAGATGTGACCTTAGAATAGTAGGAATTTATTTATAATTGGAAAATGGAATTCAAAGTAGTTATAGAATAATTTAATATTTGTTGCATACTGATTCCAAAAAGCCAGGAGATTAGAGGAGGAAAACAGTGAAAGAAAGGAAAATAGATATAGCTTCCAAGTTGCTGGGAAATGAGCCAATAATGAATCAGAGAGAAGCAAGCCAAGGACTTAGAGGACATCAAAGAGGTGGTAGCGCTCCTCAGTGGAAAGATTTTATTATTGAACACATTACTGACCTTTGAAAAACTTTTTACTTGGCTCAAAAGTTGACCTCATCCTAACTTCAATTTATGAAAAGAGTTTTAAACTTTTATTCTGTTCCCTTGATTCCGGTCACATGAAGATTTTATTTTTTTTAGCACAGATATATGAGCTTTTCTTGCCATAGCTTCTGTTCAGTAAGCTGAACCACAATGTTCCACAAATGATTGTGATGATGGAAAGCCACTTGACCTAGGGTTAATCATTTCTATAGCAGGTATGGTCAAACTTTCAGACTGAAGGGCCCCCACCAGTAAGATAGCAAACTTCCGGCTTCTCTTCGGGGTCCTCAGTTCCCGCCGGTGCCACCTGAAGCCCAATCACCTCTCGCCCGCCTCCCAATCCCAGCACCTAGCCAACAGCCACCAGCTCCGTAGAAGTGAAACCTCAATCAGCTCATGCCCCTTCCTATATAACCCAGCACCTTTCCCTAATAAAGCGGAATTTTCCGGTGAATTGCTGCTGTGTGTCGCTCCTTTCCTTTCACAGACTATTGAGCATCTTGATCCAAAATCAACAAACTAAACTAAGAGACTTTTTTCCACTGGGTTACACATATGGTCATTGGGAATTTTTATCCCCTAACAGAGGGGGAATATTTGGCTTGAATTTGGATGATCTCACCAGGAAGAATACTAAAGTCTAAGGAAGACCATGATAGAATGAAAAGCGGAAGACCATATGAGTAAAAGGTTTTATCACCCTGCTCCCTGTGGGTCTAAGGTAGGTGGGTAGATTATTTGATTCTAACATTAAAACTTATCTTTTTTGGCACACATAATGGTACTTCAGTACCAGCTTTATAAATGGAATCCAACTCCTAAGCCTTCTTAATATAATTATTTCCAATGGAAAAGTGCTACGAAGACACAGAAGGAACATAGACTCTTGGGCTCACTTGGCATGGACTGCTATGGATCCCAAGTAAGGCTACACATAAAAAAGAGATTCAGTTATTGAGAGGGAAAATAAATATTAGACTTTCCTCTTTGATTAAGCCTTCCCCAACTGTGAACTGTTTGAATTTCAATTGTATGGAATCAGTTTATGAAATCACTACTGAGAACTGAACTACACACATCTACCTTAAACCTAATCAGGAAACAGCTTTTACTTTAAACACTTCTGTAGTAAATGAAAAACATGAAAAACAAACACCACCACCAACAGTAAAAGGAACATGAACCTAATTCGGAAGTATTATTTGTTGAAGAGTTTTGCTAGATAAAATAAACTATGTTTGAGGTCAAGTTGTAATGTTTTTATTTGTATATTCAAGCTTTTCCCCTGTGGGGTAAATGACAGAATTTTCAGAATCGCCTGCCTAGCCTCAGTCTATTTACATACCAATAGCTGGGGCAGCTTCCCACAGCCTCTGGGGCGAGGGGTGGAGAGAGGATGGCCATCTCTGGGCCCCTCCAATCCTGGCGCATAATTGGTCTGGCATCTGCCAGTCACCAAGACTCACCAATAGAGTTCCTTCTGGAAGGGGTGGGCAGGAGCTAGAGAGCTCACTGAGGCTGCAGAGCGTGAACCGTGGCCAAGAGGCGGACAGTGCCTAGCCTAGCTAGGGAATTTGAGCAAGCTGTGAGAAAAATTATTTCTCCCAACCTACTGTTTACCTTGACTTATTTCAGCTTCACTGGTTTCATGGGGGGACTTGCCCAACCCCAGAAACATCCTTTGCTCTGGAGCTACACCCCTAAAAAAGCATAATGCATCTCATTTGATTTAAATCTGGAACAAAGTTACGAACTTAAAATACAATGAATATGAAAGTTCTGTTCAGACTATAGCCATTTCTACATGTCCAAAGTATGTTTCAGAGTTTAAACAGATTCTTAAAAATATTCAAAATCAAGTAATTCTTATTTGGATAATGTTGCTTTGCTATATTTTGGAGTACGGTAAAAATGGATTAAGAAACTTGTGACCCATTTCCAATTTCAAACGTCATAGTTAGAAAAAATATTATTCTGTAACAGACATTTTGTTTAACTGTCTTTAATTCTGTCTCCTGAGAAAAATATCCTGGTTGACTTGCTTTAACAGTTTCTAGCTAGCATGAGAATCCTTTACAGATTAAATTATTGAATGACTTTACTTAAAGATAATAAGTGTACAATTATCACTAAATCCCTATTATACTTGACAAATAGAGTAATTCTGCTATTTTGATTATACTTTTTCACAGTTAAAACTGGAAGGGGGAACATATTACCACTTTGGGGAACAAAATTTAACAATGCACTCAGACAATAAACCATTGAAGATGTACTACTAAAGTTTCTTTTACTAACATTGTGGCATTTTACACTTAGAAATTAACCAAATTCTATTTTTAAAGATTTATTCAGAAATCAGATTAGCTCAAATTTTTGTATTTTTTTCACTGTTTTAACCACCAGAACACCATTTGATTTTTAAAAGTCCAAGAAAAAAACAAACCAAACACCTTAATGGATTCTCTTTGGCTGTAAATAGAGGCCACACATTGGTATTCATGGCCCTTAGTTATTTGGCTCCAAGGCATGTTTCCCTTTTCATCTGCACCTACTGCATTACTGCATTACTATTAACTCTCAACTCCAAGTGGCTTATTCCCCCCAAAACACCTGTGCTTTCTAGACTCTCTTACTTGGTTTAGTATGTGGCCTCTTCACTTGAACTTCTTTTCCTATTTGAATATCTATCATTCAGGTTACAGCATTCTCTTTCCTAAATTGTATCCTTTTTGTCACTTGACATTTGTTTTATTTCACTTTACATTTCAGTTGCTTTTTACTGTCTCACCAGCTGACGGTGAGTGCACTGTATGTACACCTGTGTTGTCTTCTTACTCACAGAATACTGCACAGAGCCTTACACATAATACATGTTTAAAAAATGTTTTTCGATTTGTTTCTAAGGGGGAGGAAATATAACCATAACATAAATAAGTAAAGCTTTGTGACAGGACCAGATGTGACCTTAGAATAGTAGGAATTTATTTATAATTGGAAAATGGAATTCAAAGTAGTTATAGAATAATTTAATATTTGTTGCATACTGATTCCAAAAAGCCAGGAGATTAGAGGAGGAAAACAGTGAAAGAAAGGAAAATAGATATAGCTTCCAAGTTGCTGGGAAATGAGCCAATAATGAATCAGAGAGAAGCAAGCCAAGGACTTAGAGGACATCAAAGAGGTGGTAGTGCTCCTCAGTGGAAAGATTTTATTATTGAACACATTACTGACCTTTGAAAAACTTTTTACTTGGCTCAAAAGTTGACCTCATCCTAACTTCAATTTATGAAAAGAGTTTTAAACTTTTATTCTGTTCCCTTGATTCCGGTCACATGAAGATTTTATTTTTTTTAGCACAGATATATGAGCTTTTCTTGCCATAGCTTCTGTTCAGTAAGCTGAACCACAATGTTCCACAAATGATTGTGATGATGGAAAGCCACTTGACCTAGGGTTAATCATTTCTATAGCAGGTATGGTCAAACTTTCAGACTGAAGGGCCCCCACCAGTAAGATAGCAAACTTCCGGCTTCTCTTCGGGGTCCTCAGTTCCCGCCGGTGCCACCTGAAGCCCAATCACCTCTCGCCCGCCTCCCAATCCCAGCACCTAGCCAACAGCCACCAGCTCCGTAGAAGTGAAACCTCAATCAGCTCATGCCCCTTCCTATATAACCCAGCACCTTTCCCTAATAAAGCGGAATTTTCCGGTGAATTGCTGCTGTGTGTCGCTCCTTTCCTTTCACAGACTATTGAGCATCTTGATCCAAAATCAACAAACTAAACTAAGAGACTTTTTTCCACTGGGTTACACATATGGTCATTGGGAATTTTTATCCCCTAACAGAGGGGGAATATTTGGCTTGAATTTGGATGATCTCACCAGGAAGAATACTAAAGTCTAAGGAAGACCATGATAGAATGAAAAGCGGAAGACCATATGAGTAAAAGGTTTTATCACCCTGCTCCCTGTGGGTCTAAGGTAGGTGGGTAGATTATTTGATTCTAACATTAAAACTTATCTTTTTTGGCACACATAATGGTACTTCAGTACCAGCTTTATAAATGGAATCCAACTCCTAAGCCTTCTTAATATAATTATTTCCAATGGAAAAGTGCTACGAAGACACAGAAGGAACATAGACTCTTGGGCTCACTTGGCATGGACTGCTATGGATCCCAAGTAAGGCTACACATAAAAAAGAGATTCAGTTATTGAGAGGGAAAATAAATATTAGACTTTCCTCTTTGATTAAGCCTTCCCCAACTGTGAACTGTTTGAATTTCAATTGTATGGAATCAGTTTATGAAATCACTACTGAGAACTGAACTACACACATCTACCTTAAACCTAATCAGGAAACAGCTTTTACTTTAAACACTTCTGTAGTAAATGAAAAACATGAAAAACAAACACCACCACCAACAGTAAAAGGAACATGAACCTAATTCGGAAGTATTATTTGTTGAAGAGTTTTGCTAGATAAAATAAACTATGTTTGAGGTCAAGTTGTAATGTTTTTATTTGTATATTCAAGCTTTTCCCCTGTGGGGTAAATGACAGAATTTTCAGAATCGCCTGCCTAGCCTCAGTCTATTTACATACCAATAGCTGGGGCAGCTTCCCACAGCCTCTGGGGCGAGGGGTGGAGAGAGGATGGCCATCTCTGGGCCCCTCCAATCCTGGCGCATAATTGGTCTGGCATCTGCCAGTCACCAAGACTCACCAATAGAGTTCCTTCTGGAAGGGGTGGGCAGGAGCTAGAGAGCTCACTGAGGCTGCAGAGCGTGAACCGTGGCCAAGAGGCGGACAGTGCCTAGCCTAGCTAGGGAATTTGAGCAAGCTGTGAGAAAAATTATTTCTCCCAACCTACTGTTTACCTTGACTTATTTCAGCTTCACTGGTTTCATGGGGGGACTTGCCCAACGCCAGAAACATCCTTTGCTCTGGAGCTACACCCCTAAAAAAGCATAATGCATCTCATTTGATCTAAATCTGGAACAAAGTTACGAACTTAAAATACAATGAATATGAAAGTTCTGTTCAGACTATAGCCATTTCTACATGTCCAAAGTATGTTTCAGAGTTTAAACAGATTCTTAAAAATATTCAAAATCAAGTAATTCTTATTTGGATAATGTTGCTTTGCTATATTTTGGAGTATGGTAAAAATGGATTAAGAAACTTGTGACCCATTTCCAATTTCAAACGTCATAGTTAGAAAAAATATTATTCTGTAACAGACATTTTGTTTAACTGTCTTTAATTCTGTCTCCTGAGAAAAATATCCTGGTTGACTTGCTTTAACAGTTTCTAGCTCAATTTGTAGATGACAGAGGTTTATTGCCATGTATGTACTCAGAAAACAACAAAAAAAGTTTCAGTGTTCTTAATATTGAAAGAAATCTGCAACAATAGTTACACGTATACACACAGATGTACAAAAGACCTTCATTGTCTCAGCATAAACTAAGAAATTAACTGATATTCTTTCATAGAAAAGCTAGAATACTTGGCATTTGAATGAAAATCTAAAACTGGACAAGATATCAGTAATTAGGAAAGAAAAGCAATGAGAAAAGGAAAAGTAAGTTCCTGTGCTGTAATATTTGCAAGAGTATAGTTTTTCTTTATAAAAATTTATTTTGAAAAGTATGAAATATAAAGAAAAATCGAGATTAATAAACACTGGTTTATGATTTTTTAAACTTTTTTTAAAGAAAATATGCTATAGAATGTTAGCACATAAAGTGGAAGTGTGTTGGGGACTTTTGAAGCTAATTTTCCTTTCTGAATGGCAGGAATTGACCTTGGTAATTCATAGGCACCTTTCAAAATCTTCAATTTAGCTACCCTAACAAAATCAGAATCTCTTCTGAAATTATCTAGCACTGTTTTGGTTTTTAATATTTTTTAAAGGTATTATAAATTTAAATGTAAATATATGCTTTTAATAAGTAAATACTTTATCTTGCCTATTAATAGTATTTTTAATTGATGGCAATTAGAAATCACTGCTGAGATATCTGGAGTTTGAATAAAGTTTCTGGACAGCATATTAATTTAAGGGAAAGAAGCATTTTCTGGGATCATCAAGAACTATTAGAACTGACTTATCTTAATGAGTTGTCAGCATGAGGTCAATGAGGTTTCAGCAAGAAATCTCCTTTGGACTTGCCTGACAGTGGGAACTGACTTTTTGAGGGGGAGGAAAAAAAAAACTGGTTTCTTTTTAAAAAATTCGAGTTATGACTTTTTTAATACCTTTTTTTTTCAGTTTTTTAATTTTTATTCCTGTAATGTCACCAACATATTTCTAAATATTACATATGGTGAGTAAGGAAGATTTCATCTTCTACCATAAAATAATACTTTTATAAAAACGACATTCCGCATCTTGCTTCGTTTATTTTATCTTGCTTCTCTTTATGCCTTTTATTAAGTTGCAATACTGGTTTGGATTTCATAAGTATTTTCTCAGTCATTCAAAAAAACAAAAGCCTAAGTTAATAATTCAGGATAGAAATCAGTATCGTTCCTACCATCCTTCTCAATTGATTTGAGAACTGAAAGACTAAGTCATACTCATTTGGGTACTGGTACCCAAACTACACTAGCTGGCATCAACGAGAAACAACTTTTAAATTCCTGGTTCTTAGCTCCGGTGTTTTATGATTATGTGGGTTTTCAGTTGTTTGTATGAGTCTTATTTCTTATCATCACGGGCAACCACAAGCTGGCTGGCATTCTCTGAACTCTCTATTGGAACCAGTTCAGAACTACTAACTAGAGTTTTCAAACAATCTCAAGATCCCTATTTCCTATCTTCCTGTATGAAAAAGAAAACAGTTTCTCTTGCCTATTTATTAGTTTGAAGAAGTGGAGCTCAGCTAAGGAGTACTGGAAAGTAGAGACATTTTACTTACCACACTTTCTTTATCACAATATGAACTGAAGTCATTTGATACAATTGCAGCATACTGAAGCAGTACTTTATTGATAGTCTAGGAAAAAAAACATTGTGAAGTATATTCAGGTTAAAAAATACACATACATGCACACACACATGCACACACACACACACACACACATACAAAATCCAGGTTTATGTGAGTCAGGCAAACTTTCCATGTCTTTTTTAGCTGAAAAGGGGTCATAACAGTGATTAAATCTACACCCTTGCCAAAACATTTGCCCTCAATGTACTAAGTTACTGGTTCATTAGTTGCTAAAAATATCACCTAATCATTAGTTCCCTTTTTATGTCCTTTTTATCCTAATTCCATGTTTTCCTTCTCTACCTAATAATTCTTTCTGAGCCCAAGGATACACCCTTATTTCCATTAATTATGTAAAACAAGGAGAAATGAACAAATTTGTTAGTTATATTTTATTTTAATTCAAGATGTATTGATGAGTTTGCATCCTACTGTTTTTACTTACATAGCTTTAATTATGAGTCAAATGTGGTTGTGATTTTCTTGAAAAAGAAAAAGCAACAATAACAAGAGACATAGGCCATCTCTTTTTACAGAAAAGCAAGGAAGAAAAAGCTTTTATTTTCTTCTTTTGTATATCATATTCATCTGAATTTTCTCTGTGGTTCAAAATCAACTTGCGGAGACATGCTAAAGAGTGAAGCTGAAGGAGAGATGTTTAATCTGCAAGCCTGAATTCACCTAATGTTACTATAAACTTGTTTTATAAACTTTGAAAATCACAATGAAAACCCGAAATTAGGGATAACTTGCAAAAAGAGAACTGATATTTTGTTGAGGTACAAAGTAAGGCAATAATATGTGCCAATTTAAATAGAAAACCAGTGTTGGAAAATATAAAATCTTATCAAGCAGCAGACCAATAAATCTAGGACAACAGATGGCAGATCAGACTGAAGTATCTTCCAAATGCAGCTGTTCAAACCTTACTTTAGACATAATGCTGAAAATTTAGGACTTACCTAAGGAGTACTAATTCACTTGTACGTATGAACAATACTCTCAATTTACAGGTTCTAATGACAGTGTAAACTGTAAGAATAATTTCACTATATTGCAAAAACCAAACAAAGCCTGACTTTAGGAGGCTATTGCAACTCAAAGATTATACCTTACATTAGATAAGGGTTGGGAAGGGGAACCCAGACATCCATTTCTGAATATTTTCAAGGTGTCCCTCATGGCCTAACACTTGACACTACTTTGTAGGAAAACCCTAGTGTCTTGAATTCTTGCTTGGAGACAGCTGATCCTAGGAGTTCACATCCACTAGCCTACACATGCCAGTGGTTATGCACTTCAGGTAAGGTAAGTGCTCAGCCATGTAGGATATGGTTTAAGGTCTAGTGTCCATAAGAGTTGTGGATACACTGACTGCAATAACATCCATTTCTTTACTAATGTGCTAATGTACCAGTATACCTGAATGAAAATGTGCATGTACCTTGATTTCTTCCTAATTTATTCAACAAATGAAATTGCTATCAGGCATTAGTTCTTTAATACTAGTAAGCAGTTCCTTACAACATATCTACCTAAGACTGGTCTCCAGCTGCATCATAAGCACCACCTGGGAACTTACTACAAATGCAAATTCTTTGCTCCCACCCCAGAGGCCTACTGAAGTCAGCAGTTCTGGGGTTGAGCCCCAGCAATGTAACAAGTCTCTAGGTGATATTGATGCAAGTGGAGTTTGAGAACCACAGTCCTTAACTAATGCATAGTCGAATGGAGGTAATTCTTTAGAGAGAAGCTGTTGATGGAAGGAGTACCTAACCAGGGCCTGGAAGAAAGGACTTCTGAGTATGTGACTTTAGGTCATGATTTTATCTTTGTGGGACTATAGTGGGCTTCAGAAATGGAGAAGGCACAGTGAAAGAGCCAATCAATAGCCTAACAGGGGCTGTTTGCATCATGTTCTGTAACAGAACACAGTACATAAGAAGAGGTAATCGTGAAGTGCAGACAATTTTATGGGTGCTGCAAAGGAAATGCTATGCAAAGAGCTCCAGATTAAATTAAATAAAATGAGGTTCTAATGGGATTGTGGCAGTGAAGCGAGGGATTCTGCTGCATTTAAAGGATCAGACAGGATCACTAAAATATCTCCCACCCTCAATGTGCTCTGATTTGATATGGAGCTACTAGTGTTATCGAGTGGGATAGCCAGACAATTACTCTAAGTCATTATGGTCTCCCATGTTAATGCTATGCTAGTAGAAGTGGGCTAAATATCCTGTAAACACTACCAGTAAGTCCATCTAGGGTATTACGCTTGCAATCAGTAAGATAAGAACCCTGGCTCAAAATTCATCTTTTCAGTCACATTTTATGCATGAAACATAACAGTATTAGGCCCAAGCACAGAGGACAAGAAGAAAATAGTATCTGTTAAGTGATATATGAAATGCCAATTCAGTGCTTTATAGAAGTCTAGGTTTGGCCCAAAGGGTAAAAATAAATGGTGAGATTCTACTCTTTAACTTACCAATTGATTTCTGATTGACACCAGAATGCAAAAATAGTATAGCTCAGTAGCTGAAAGCATTCCAGCCATACCAGTTCTAGTTGGGTGACTTGTTTTGAGTTACTTGAAATATCTGAGTTTGTTTTGCCATTTGAAAGATCAGGGACAATAACAGTACCTGCCATCTCATGAATTTTTGCAAAGAGTAAGCAAGCCAATATATGTAAAGTGATTAGCACACAGTGGTATTCAATGAATTATCATTATTGTTTTTTAAAATTAGGATTAGGTCCCACAGAACAAAGAATATCTGTGCTTCATTCACCATAGTATCTCCAAGCTCCTGGCAAACAACTAGATTCAGAGTCAGAACTCAGTATTTGTTGGTTTGTTTATAAGTAATACTAAAGACATCACTATTTTAAATTTCTCTTTAAATTAAACTACCCATACTTTTTAAGGGCAACAGTAAAGCCATAGGAGTGCCCACTGCCCAAGTGCCCACTTTACTACTCATCACAGCTCCTGAATGTTCCTGCTTGAAATTTAAAAAATTTGTTTCCTTATTCAGTCTTATAGTGTACATGCTTTAGTAAGAACAAATCATCCCTTTAAGTCCCACTTAAGAATGCTTAATCTTCTAAAATATCTGCAGATATCATTAATATGTCTTCTTGCTGGGAGATAGTTTAAATCATGTCAATCCCAGGAAGAGAATATGATTTCAATATATTCTGATACAAGGATCGCAATCCTAAGAAGGATAGGGTTTTCAAGAATGATGGTCACATCTGATAAAACAAAACAAACTCTAATAGTCTGAAGTTACTGCGAAATAGCTACTTATATTAACCACAGTGTTTCTGTTATTTTTATGATTTTTAAAATCATTTCAACAAAGTAATTTATTTCTCAATGAAAATTACCAATTTCTACTTTCTGAGAAAATGTTTCCCATTTTTCTTGTGATAATAATTGGGTAGTATTGAATTTCCATGGATTAAAAACATTCTACTTAATTGAAAATGGTTTTTATTGTTCAAATATAAGCTCACATTTCTTCAGTGACACGTGGAGGCTAATCCTTTTCTTTTTGCTTCAGAGCATGTGTTTTCCTTTGTGTGATTCTGATATGACCCTCTTTGTGACCTCCCACCCCTTTAAATTTCCCTCCAGTCCATTTGATAGTTACCCTAGCAGGCTCATCCTGGCTGGGCTCAGCTTTACAGCTGCAGAAAGGTCAGAACTACTAAGGGACAGAGGGCCTAGGAGTCCAAGTTCATCTTTCCTGTTACTTTCCCTGAGGGCCTCCATGTCTCCCTCCACTTTACATAACCTGCTACCTGACTACTCTGAGGGTGAATTCTAGTTACTATTCTAATATCATGTGCAATTATACCAGCATGTTTCTAAATATATTAACTCTGAGATTAAATTCTTATATGATCCAGCTTTCACTATAAGTCCTACAGAGTTCCAAGAATAGCATGTGACACACTTTTAAAAATATTATCCCTAATGACCCCATTTCATTCTTTTCCTGGCAGTTACCCAAAATGTAGTTGTGAGTTAAAGTAAGACTTACCTAGAGAATTTTTAAAGGCTAATTCTCCTGCAGCAGCATTTCCTGCAGATTTCAGCATTTTGGGAAATTAAAATCAATCATTATCAAGAAATCCTATCTAGAAATGATCCCAATAGATGATTCTTAGCTATTACCTTTAAAGTAATATGTTACTTTATCCTCCTATTAACAGATATAAAGACTGTAGTTCAAAACACTTGTGGCAGATAATAATGTCATGCTGTTTAGGTTGACAGCTTGTCTGCCTGAAAGTCGTCATTGGCTCCTCATTTTCTACTAAGTTCAACTACTTTGCCTACTCAAGATTCTTAACAGTGTGGGCCAAACTGTCCAACTATAGTTCATCAGTCTTCGAGAATCCTGTGCTTTCTCTTTGTGGGGACCTCCCAAGCTAGAACCCCTGAGTCACAGGATGGTGGAGGGTGACCAAGATTCTCTCCTTGACTGAACTCCAGCCAGGACCCTCTCTGAGCACTCTTCTCAGCTAGGCCGAGTCTTCAACAAAACAGTCAACATAGTTTCTCACAGCTCAAGGCCACATCCCTGGGATGATCCTAGATCCCCTTAAAGTGCCTGCCTGAAAGACCCAGGCTGCCGAAGGGATTTACTGTTGGCTCCAGCCAACCCCTGAGGCAGGCCCATCTCCCAGCCCTTGTGGGAGGGTGGGGGCCTGACCTCCATAAGCACCACATGCAAAACCAGATGGGTTTCACATCCACTAACTCCCCCTTCCCATTTTTTGTAATTTTTAACTTCCTGACTCTCCTGAGCCCCGACCTTCCCCCTCCCTACCCCTCATTCTCTTTAAAATGCCTCATCACCTCTGTACAAACCAAAATTGAGTCCAGTTCATTCTGGATTCCTGCCTACTACAATAGTATATTACTGATTAAAATTTCTCCTTACCATGTTGAGTAGTATCTGTCTTTGTTTATCTTTGGCAAAGGCTCCCTTATAGGGTCACCCATCCCATATGTGATGTTGTGTGAGCAGGAAGGAAGCTTTGGGGTGTTAAATCATAGACCTCCTTGGTTTACTTGGTAACCCCAGTGTGAACTATCCTACCACAGTTCATAAAGATGCTGTCTCCCACAAGAAGCGTTTCCTGGTCTACCTGTCAGTGAACCAAGGTTAAACTCCCTAAGGGTCAGAGCCGAAGACAGGGTCAAGCCTCCCATTCATAAAGTACCTGAAATTTAGACTTTTTGTGATAATGCAAATGAAATTATGTACTCCTGTGTTTGTATCTGTTGTTAAAAAGCAGTAGTATGTTAAATGTATACATCTGTTATGGGCTGAATTGTGACCCCTCAAAATTCATCTGTTGAAACACTAATCCCCAGTATTTCCAAATGTGACTATCTTTGGAGATAGCACCTTCAAAGAGGAAATTTAGTTAAAATAAGAACATTAGGGTGGGCCTTAATCCAATCTGACTAGTGTCTTTGTAAGAAGAGAAATTCAGATGCACACTGGAACACCAGGGGTGCGTGTGCACAGAGAAGGGGCTGTGTGAGACACAGTGAGCGGCCGGCCATCTGCAAGCCAAGCAGAGAGGCTGCGAAAGAATCCAAACCTGCCAACACTTTGATCTCAGACATCCAGCCTCTGGGAACTGTGAGACAACAAATGTTTGCCGTTTAAGCCATCATTCTGTGCCATTTTATTATGGCAGCCCTAGTAAATGAACACAACATCTTAAATATTATATGATCTAACTGAGTTTTGGCATCGTCTGATTTTAACATGTCAGATATATATCTACATAGCATTATATTGTAGCATTTGACTTTGTCAGTTTACAGATTTGGCCCTCCTATTGTAAGTTTTTGAAGTCAGAAATTATGCTTATTCATGATTGCATTTCTTAAACTGGTTAGTAACACATGCTAGTGAGGAACCAGGTAGGCACTGCTGGCCGATAGGCTGAGCCCTCCGCCATCACCTGACCCACGAGCAGACGTACTCCAGGGTAGTGGGACACAGGACTGTGCAGCTCATCCCCCGGCTCCACGCTGCCATGTCACCACCCTGGTCCAAATGTTCAGTGGTTCTTAGATTGCTCAAAAGATTAACTCTAAAGTGCTAACCCTGGAGAGCCAAGTTCTTCAAGGTCTGGACCCACCCTTACTTTCCCAGCCTTGCCCACTGCTTCCTCCTGCCCAGGTCTGCTCTACCAGGGTTCCTCCTGCTCGTCACCTGTCGTGCTCAGCTTTCCTCATCCTTTCTTCCTGCTGTTCCCTGGCTTGGCATACTTTTCTAACTTCATCTTCTTAGGCTGAGTGAGCCCTGCTTTTCCCATGAAACCTTTGTGTATTTCATCTCTTACCAGTTCTTCTGTTCACCGTACTGGAGATCCTGCTATGCTCAAAACCAGATTATGTCCCTCTCCTTGCCATTGTCGAATTAGTCCATGTCATATGGTCTTGATTATTGTATGGATTTTTTTTTAAGATCTGAAGGGCAAAGACTGCATTTTTAAATTCCTTATACTTCCTTTGACACCATTTGGTAAAGTAGTAGGTGTTTTGCAAGCCCTTTTAGACTCTATGAGGAGGAAGAGTTCTTAAGGAAAATCTGGTTGATTGAGATCAATCTGTCAACTAATGAAGCTAAATTCCCCAAAATAAAGGAAACTGCTGAGACTCACCCTATAGGTATTGGCTGATTTGAAATCAGAACTCAGTCATCATGATTCCAAGTCCAACATACCTTTCAGTGTACTACAGTGCCTGCTAAAAAAGTACTTACACTTTGAATAGGAAATGCCAAGGCTTATTTTCAGCCAGAAAGCAACACATTTGAAACAGAAATAATTTGGCTACCATGGCATTCTCTTCAATTACAAGTGACTGAGTCATCAATATGAATAAAAAATAAATTTTTAAAGATAATAAAGCGACATTTAAGAAACAAGAAATGCAGAAAGTAGATGACAAACTTGGAAAGAACTGAACCTATTAGTATGAGAATTAGAAATTGAATTGGCGTAGTCATATCAGAGAAGACTAATACTATGAACAATGGCATATTTCAGGTTGTGTGCAGAAAACTAATATGCCACAGTCCTAGAACATAAAGGATTCGTTCCATTTAACTTACCTTTGCAAATCTTCTCATTAAGTGAGATAATGCTTCAGGATTAGGGCATTCCAGTTTCTTAATAATCTCAAAACTCTGATTAAGCTGAGCAAAGACATCAACCACAGAACAAGAGAAGAGGGCGTGATCGGATGTCTGCTGGAACTGTGGGGGGAGAGGGTGAAGCCATCCCAAGAAGCACGTTAGAGGGACTGTGGAGAGTCTTCACTATTTCACACAAACAATTGAATCTCCTATTTCATGCACCTTCATATCATATACCCTTATTTCCTGCTAATAAAATGCTTACCCATTTAAAAAATCATAAATCTACTTTTCTGGAAAATGTAGTGGAACTAGTATCATGGATCAGGCCACTCTTAATTGGTTTCTCCATTGCTAAATTGAGGGACTGGTTTTTATTTGTCATTCCCTATAGGTGTTAGGATGGTTTAGAAAGTTGTAGCTCAAGACTTTTTAATCACTCCTATGGGATTGGGAGGGTGACTGCTCCTAATGTTGGAGTCCTGGAAAGGGGCCAGGACAAGTTTTGTACAAGCTTACTGCATTTGTAGATTCAGACCAATTCAAGAAGTAAAGACTATAAAAAAAAAAGAAGTAAAGACTATTGGGGCAAAATGTTTTTTTTTTTTTAAATTTAAGCAACTTAAGCCTAGGGTTACTACCAGCCCTTTAAAATTGTGTTTTAAATTTATTTTGATCATTAGAAGATTAAAATGAACCTTAATTAATAACCATAAGCCTAACAATTCCCATTAGCTTGAAAGCGAACAGTGCGAATGAATCCTGACATTAGCAATCTAAAGTGATTTAAACTCACTCCGTCTTTTTTGTCCCTTCCCAGTGCTCCATAGAGGAACTCCATTGACAGGTCTTCATTTTCATCTAGCCACTGCATGACAAAAGGCTCGAACCACCTAAAAAGATAGTAATGTTACATACTACAAAAGGTCTCATTTGCACATAATCAACACGGAACACTGCTCTTTTCTTAGATGAGAGTCATTCAGAACCCACATCTCTTTTCACTCTCTTTTCCCAGTTCAGCTTCCTCAGAGACCGTTAGTTTTACTTCATTAATACATACCCCTCTTTTTACCTTTAATCTCTCTTTTCGCTGCCTCTTCCCAAGCTGCCTCAAATAAGCTTAGTTCCCAGTTCCCACTCTATAATTCCCTTTACAGTTTACGATCCTGTAAAGTGTAGACCTTGCATGCTATATGCCCCATCATGCCATATTCTTCTTAGCGCTTTACCACCAGGCTTCCCTCCATACCAACTAGTCTCCTGCAACTGGTCCTGGGTGCTCACCTTTGACTGCTTATGATCTACAATCCATCTCCAGTTTGGTGTGAATGCTCTAAATTTCAAAGTTCTTTTTTCCAATGATGTGCAATTGTCTGACACCATTTAATTTAGAAGATCATCCTTTCCCCCACTGCCTTGAACTGGCATCATTGATATAAATGTGGTGACAGCCAATGTGTGGGTTTGCCTCTGGACAATTTTGCTCCATCATCTATTTGTGATGCACTAATGCCACACTCTTAATAACTGCATCTTTTGAATAAGTCTTAATAACTGATAGTACAGTTCTCTTCAAGTTGCGTCAGCTGTTTTTATCCCTGTGCATGTCTACATACCTTTTTTAAATGAACTTTTCAATTTGCACAAAAATACCTACTAGAATTTTTATGGGATTGCATGGAACCTGAAAGTAATGTAGGGAGAGAACCACTATCTTTATAATAATGCATCTTTTTCAGGAACATTGTGTATTTTATTTAGTTCCTCTTAGATTTCCCTCAGTAATATTTTATTGTTGCCTGGATAAAGGCATATTTTTCTCATGGTTTTAATGCCATTTAGATGGTATTATTTCTATGTAATTTTCTAATTGTTTGTGGCTATTATATAGAAGTTCAATGTACTTTTTCACAGACTCACTACACTCACTTTTTAAGTTCTATTAATTTTCCTATAGTTTCTCTCAGATTTTCTAGATGCAAAATTATATGTAAATACTGACAATATCATTATATGCTTTTACAATCATTGTATTTTTCTATCCCTTTCCTGTCTTATTGTACTGCCTAGGACTTCTAGGACACTGCTAAGTAAAAGTAATGTTATCAACTATTAGTCTCATTATTGATCTTGGGGGAAACTTTCAAAATTTTATCCATAAGCATGTTTGTATAGGTTTTTTTTTTGTAAGGCAGTGTCATTTATTAGATTAAGATAATTCCCTCCTATTCTTGACTTCTGGGAGATTTTTATAATAAATTGCTGTTATATCGTATCAAATTATTGTTCTGTCTGTAGCATAATTATTGTAGGGGTTTTTTCCTTCATTCTTTAAGTGTGGTGAATTGCATTCATTGCTTTCAAAATGTTTAACTAATCTCATATTCCAGGAATAAATTCCCCTTAGTCATGTTACATCAATCTTTTTATAAACCACTGCATTCTACTGGCTAATATTTCATTTGAGTTTATTTTTTTAAACTATGTTCAGAGAGAAATTGGCCTGTAATTATTCTTATTTGCCATGTTCTCAACAGGTGTGAGTAGTGAGGATATGCTGACCTCAAAAAATAATTGGAGAAGTATTCCATCCTTCTCTGGAACATTTTGTGAAATACTGGTGATATTCTTCCTTGAACCATTCTAAGAATGCCATTTGGAGCCATCTTAGCCTGGAATTCAGTTGTGACATGATTTTTAATCAAGGATTCAAATTTTAAAATAGTTATGCGCCTATTCAGATTTTAACTTTTTTCTTATATCAGCTTAATAAGTTATATATTTATTTATACATATATAATAAACAAAAATATTTTGTCTAACTTATAAGGGTATTGGCATTCATACTTTTTATAATTTTTTATCTGTAGGATCTTTAAAGATATCCTTTCCTGAGAATGATAATTTCTGACACCCTTTTTTTTCCCATTGGCCTCCTTAAGGTTTTTTTATTTTATTCTTTAAAAAAACCAGCTGTTGGTTTTATAATTTCTCCTATTTAAAATTTTCTATTTTATTTTTCTTCCAGGTCATACTGATTATTTTCTTTCTTAAACTTTTGGCTTAATTTGCTTTTTAAACATTTCTTCTGATATTTATTGATGTGTATACCCATTTTCCTTCTTTGTATAGAGTTAGAGCTATAAAATTTTCTCTATTTCCTGTTTTAGCTGCAATTTACAAGTTTCAATATGCCATGTTTTGTTAGCACTTAATCCAAAAAGCTTTGCAATTTACACTGTAATTTATTTTTGACTACTGAATTGTTTAGAGTGTTCTGCTTAATTTCCCTCTCTGGTGAAGTTCTAATTATCTTTTTGAAGCTGATTTCTGGCTTAATTCCACAGTGATCCAAGAACAAATAATATATGTTTCAATCTTTTAAAATTCACTAGACTTGTTTTATGGTCCAGCAGATAGCATGTTTTGGTAAATATACCATGTGCATCTGATACCATTGTGTATGTTGTCATTGTTGGTTATAAATTGTAGACATGTTGTATATGTGTGTGTGTAAACAATGTCTATGAAACATTATGGAACCTCTGGGTGAGCAGATAGACATAAATATAGATGGATAAATATCTCTGTGTGTCATTCATGTTGTTGAAACTTCATTGTTCTTATTGACTTTTTTTGTTTGATTCTTCAGTCAGTAGCTGAGACTATAATCTCTAAGTATACTTTTTAGAAATTGCCCCTTTATACCTCACAATTTTTGCTTTATATATTTTGCTAAGTTATGATAAATAAAATTTAGGACTGACATAACTTCTTACTGAATTGTTCATTTAATACCATGAACTATTCTCTGAAAATATTTATCTTAAAGTCTATTTTGTCTAATATTAGTGTAACTACATAAGTTTTCTTTCAATTATTATTTTCTATCATCTTGCTTTCCCCTAAATTTTCTGCCTGATCTTTCTTCTTTTCATTCTCCTTTCTTGCCTTTAAGGTTTAACTTTTGTTTTGTTTTCTTTTTTTATTCTCCTCCCCCTCATTATCTTATTGATGCACAGTGCCATGTTACACCGTAAGAGGTTCCATTATATACTGTAACACACATCCATGACACACTAGAGAAATTTTACACTTTCTAAACAACTCAAGGATCTTACAACATATTAACTCCATTCATCACTCTTCTACCTTCTCATGCTAATGCTATCTTGCATTTCAATTCTCTGTATATTTTATTCTATAGAAATTATTTTTAAAATAACTAAAATATTTTAAATGTACTCTTTAAATTTTCTAATGATTTTTTATTCTTTACTACATTACTGTATTTTTACCTTGAGTCATTTTCTGTCTGAAGAATGTCTATTATAGCACATGTTATTGGTGAGATTCTGCTGGAAATGAGTTATTTTAGCTTCTCAGTTGTGTCTTTATTTTTGAGAGATGTTCTTGACACTTGTAGAATTCTAAGTTGTTAGTTATTTTCTGTCAGCACTAAAAGATATCCTTGCATTGTATTCTGGTTTCAATCACTCCTATTGAATAATCAGCCATCAGTATTATATATTGCTCCTCTAAAGGTGAATTGTCTTTGCTTCCTTGACCCCAATACATTTAAAGATTTTCTTCTTTTTGCTTTTAAGCAGTTTCCTATGATTTACCTACAGGGAGTTTCCTTGCACTTATCCTGCTTAGGATTTATAGAAATTTTTGATGTGTGGCTTCATGGTTTTCATCAGTTTTGCAAAATCCACACCCAGTATCTTTCCAAACATTGCTCTGGTACTATTCTTTCTTCTTTCTCCATTTCTGGCATTCAATTCTTTGTACACTGGATCTTCACAATTTATCCCATATATCTGTTCTATTTTTTTCTATATCTTGCACTTTTTGTTTCTATGTTTTTATATAGATATTTTCTCCAAACTTATCTTCCAGTTATTTTTGACCTTTCTTCTGCTATGTATAATCTGCTATTAAGTCCATCTATTACAGTCCTAATTTCTTTTTTAAAATTTATACTTCTCTTTTTTTCTATTACATTTTTTTGAAGTACAGTTGATATGCAGTCTTATATGAGTTTCAAGCATGCAACACAGTGGTTCACTAGTTACCCTCATTATTAAATTCGCACCCCAACCAGTGCAGTTACTATCTGTCAACATAGAAAGATGTTAAAGGATCACTGGCTGTATTATCTACACTGTACTCCTGTCCCTGTGACCAACTTACATTATCATTGAGAATTTTTGTTCCCCTCCATCACCCAAATACTCCCCATTCACCCATTCTAACCTCTTCCCCATGGTAACCACCATTCACTTCTCAGTGTCTGTGAGTCTACTGCTATTTTGTTCATTTTGTTTTGTTTTATATTCCACTAATAAGTGAAATCACATGGTTTTTTTTCTGTCTCCCCTGAACTCATGACATTTGACATTAACACCTTCTAGGTCCATCCATGTTATTGTAAATGTCAGGATATCATTCTTTTTTATGGGTGAATGTGTACCACATCTTCTTTATTCACTCATCTATTGAGGGATATTTTGGTCACTTCCATATCTGGGCTATTGTAAGTAATGTGGCAATAAACACAGGGTTGCATACTCTTTTCAAATAGATTTTGTTTTCTTTAAGTAAATTCCTAGAAGTGGAATTACTGGGTCCTATGATATTTCTTTTTTTAGTTTTTGAGGAACCTCTATACTGCTTTCCACAGTGGCTGCAACCAATTTACATTCCAACCAACAGCGTAAGAGAGTACCCTTTTCTTCACATCATTGCTAACACTAGTTATTTCTTTCTTTTAGATAGTGACCATTCTAACTGGTGTGAGGTGTTATTTCACTATAGCTTGATTGACATTTCCCTGATGATTAGCAATGTGGAGCATCTTTTCATATGTCTGTTGATCATTTGTATT